TGGGCGATTTGGAAAAGAGAAAAATTTTCGTCCTGTCGGGGCTCGAACTCCGACCCCTCGGTCGTCCACATTGTAGCCAGCAACAATATCGACTGCACTATCCCGGCTCCTAGACACACCCTAATAACAATCGTAAATTTATGGTGTAGATTACGACTTCCTCCGATTATACAAAAAGAATATTAGCAAAAGCCAAGAGGCTGCAGGTAAAAACCTCATCATTGCTTATTGAATAAGAAACATTCTAGTCTAATTTGATAGGTACGGAATATTTTGGCCAAAATACTGTAACACTCCTACGCACAACGTGAACGCATATTGCAGAGGTGATATCGGACAGTTCTCATGTTCTATCCGTGAAATTAATAAAATCGTAGCACAAACATTTGTAATTTTTAATCACAGCATACCCTACGAGATCAATATTTCGACAATACAGTGCCAATACAGTGTGTGTGTATGCGCCCATATTAATCTGAGTTTAAACACGTTATTAAGTTAAATATAACATCCTGTACCAGTTCATGAAACTCATGCTGATGCGTGTATACAGGGTGTAAATAAATATATGTTACAACGCTCTGTGGTAGATAGATGGGTTCAATCTGATCGTATTTTTTTAATACAACCATGTCCGGAAACGCTTCCTCTTGGCACTAAGAGCCACAAAAGTTTCCGAGAAAATGCACACATTTTAGGGAATGTTATTGTTGTTTTACATTATAAAAATTGCTCAAAATGGCGGCCGCCGACTTCATTGCATATTCTGCACGGCCTGGCTATGTTATGCTGAACTCTGAAAGATTCCCGACATTTCCAGGATGGTTCCAGCTGCTACTGCAATTCTTGCCACAAGTTCATGTTGTGTCCACTGGGGTCTCATACACCAGGCTTTGCGTGTACCCCCGGAGAAAGAAATCCAGTGGAGTCAAGTCAGGAGAGCAAGGGGGCCAGGTTATTGGGAATCCATCTGTTGTCAAAAGTTTCTTCCAAACACTTACGGGCTACATGAGCGCAGTGTGCCAGGACGCCAACATGCTGGAACCACATTTCACGACGGACTTCCAAAGGCACCAAATCCAGCAGCTAGGGTAAAGTCTCTTGGAGAAATGTTAGGTAAATGTCGCCAGTAAGCCGCAAAGGTAAGAGGTAAGGGCGTCCTCGTTCACATTTCAGAGGCCCTAGCGCGTAAAAAACCTTTCCGGAAATGGGTGTATTAATAAAATACGATCACATTGAACCCATCTATCGACCACAATGTGTTGTAACATACATGTATTTACAGCCTGATTCTGTGTTTGTGTTTGCTGTGTGTATGTGCATACAAATATTGCTCTAAAGAACTGACACTTAATGTGACATACGGAGCTCATCAGGATATAAAAATTTCATTTGGAACATTTTAGACTCGGCGAATATTTTACGAAAACCAGGAAATATATTTTCTTACTCTCTTAAGTAGCGGCCTCCGTAGTCTAGAGGTAACGTTCCCACCTCATGACTTGTAGAACGCGGGTTCAAATACCCGGCGGAGGTCGTAGAATTTTTAAGGGAGGAAAAATTCAGGGAACAAGTCCTCCGGGAGGGACTTTTAAGCCGTGGGTCCCGTGTCGTAGCTTTACGGCACGTAAAAGAACCTCATACCTCCAAAGGACGTCACTGGGCAAAATTGCGGACGTTTGCCGCCCAACAGCAGTCACTAATACCTCCGGTAGGTGGGGGAAGCATTATAGATACTTCTCAGCCAGTAGAGCCGGTCTCGCTGGCTGGGCGGGACTGATGGTAAGCACCAATACCGGTAGGATATAGAGGCTGGTAGAAATCATAGAGGGAAGCACAATTGACCACTACAGGTCTAAGTGCATGGGGAAACCCACCCTCTCTAATAACTAACTGCCTAACTAACTACTCTCTTAAGTGCGATTAACTTAACAACACATTTAAGCATTTGAAGTAAAGGATCATGAAGGTACATGAGGTACACAAAAAAACAACACAGATCACATCTGGAAAACAACATGAAGTGTAAGTCGACAAGTTTTCCCCCTCGTTTGACACCGTCAACATGTTTTAAAATACGTCATTAGTCCCACCGTCCCTTCGTTAACAAGAGCTATATCGCTCACGGCGTGTAATTAAAGAATACATGGGTGAAGTATCCACTCAATTCGAGATGTGAAATAACTGGGTCATACGAGGCACAACATTAGCTCAGGAGACGGGGATGCTGGCACGTGTCTGAACCAGATATCGAGCATGCGCATACACCGCTCCATCCCCACGAGAAGATCCACCCCGGGTCACCTGGTCAATGCCCTCTCTGTTACCTCCGAATAGACAAAATATTAACTCTCCAACATTAATGCACTGAACTGCCTGTAAATGCGAAGGAAATAAATCAACGAATTCTCCCGAACTGATCTCGATCTCAATTACTCAAATAATACCCAGATGCCCAAAAGTAAAACAAGTGAATTTATAATTAAACTTTGTTGTGCTGTTGTCTCACGATTATATTAATTTCGGCATATTTCGTAACTTCGAAAGCACTCATATGAAACACAAACATATAACAACGGGCGTGAATAAGGATATTGTAGAGTTACTTCTGTGCAACCTGGTAATACAGACACGAATCCTGGTAGGCCTATCTGAGCTAATAAGGTTCGATTCCCGATAAAGGCGATGAAAATTTCTCTCTTCTCCATTAAGTGTCAGTAGCAGTCACCAATCTCATTCTGGGGGCGGAGTGGCACAAATCTGCTAACAAAGAAATATAAATTCAACAGTAATTATTTTTAGGAGTCCAAAATTGGGAGGAAGAAACAAGTTGAATGGACTATTCAATTTAAAGGGGTAAGTACATTTCTGGAAGAGGGAACCAAGATGAGATAATCGTTTGTCACTTCTCGCATTTTATTGCTCCCGGTCGTATGATTAAGGGCTCAGACAGCAATGCTCCCCCTGAAATAGCTCCTGAACCGGAATTACTTCCCGAAATAGCCAACAACAAGAAAATCGTTTCCATGGCAGTACAGCAGCTAAGAAAATAAGGCACTCTTAGGGAGGAAGCTGGAGCACAGTAATGTCAAGTATTTCAAGATACTCTGGAAGAGGGGTGTCTTTCTCAGCACTGTATTTGATTTGAATGTAATTTCTTTGCCCGCTGGTTTCTTCCTTCCATCACAGTGAGGCTATAATCAAGGGTCTGTGATTTTAGGATACGTTCGTTAAGTAAATTAAATATTTTTACAGGCATCAGAGAATACACCTTAAAATTCTGAATTAATACTAATATTCTTCAGGGTTACAAATTATAATCACAACAAGTGTAAATTTATCAAGATAAATATAATTCTATTTATTAAACATCAACTGGGACATGTTGGACAGGCCTTGACATAGTGCTCAACAATGCAAACTGAAGCGTGGAGACATTTCTTCACACCAAATTTACTGCGCTATAGTTGGCAATACCAGTTATTGCTCTGCATACCATAATCGCGCTTGGCAAGTAACAGAACCCTTTTCTGATATCATGGGGCATACATGCGATCAACGGAATTACAACCACTAATACCTATTGCTCTGCATACCATAATCGCGCTTGGCAAGTAACAGAACCCTTTTCTGATATCATGGGGCATACATGCGATCAACGGAATTACAACCACTAATACCTCAAAATTGTACACAACAATTTATTCATTAAACATCAGTACACACTACTCTGCTTATCCTAACCTGTGCAACAAATATCAACAGTAATGTGTTCAGTCAATGCATTACTGCACAACTAACAGCGCCACACATTCCCCGATACAATGCAAACGGTAATCGATGCCCTCTTGTGGCGGGGCAACACATCAAAATTAAAAGTGTCCAAAATATGCCACTGTCCGACATACCCTAATTTTAACCCAACCGACTCTGTGGTCTAGTGGTCAGAGTTCCTGGCTACAGATCTAGAGGTCTGGGTTCGATTCCCGGCGCTACCAGATTTTCTGAGAAGTAGTGGGTCTGGAACGGGGTCCACTCAGCCTCGTGAGGATACTTGAGGAGCTATTTCAAGGAATGGCCGTGGATTAATGGCCGTGGGGATCCGTTACGCTGACCACGCGACACCCTCTATCCGCTAAAGTTGGCACTAACTTTGCCGAAAAGCGGCGGTCGCTCGGTCGGTATAGTTCGCTTGCGGACTCAAGCCATGGAGTTTTTTTTTGTTAAGGGCAACGGCTAACACACCTCCTCATCTCTGTTCCGTGTTTTAGAATTCTGAATTTAATTCCACAACATTCGCCGAAGATGACCTGAGTACACGGTTTTGTTGCAACAATAATGCAATGCAATACCACACTATCAATATTACATATACCCTGTTTCGAATTCAAGTTTTTTAATTAACAAAGTAGGTGCTGAACCCAAGCTGGAACGCAAGGAGTGCTTCTGCTCTAGTCTCGGAACTCCGCTCTTCTGAAGGTTACCAGTTAGCACTACACATCTTAAATTACTCGTGGAATAATCAAAGCAGTTCAAGAACAAGTTCTGGAACTCACAAAGCAGTTTCTAAACCAATCTTAGATCCAAGAAAACAGATTAACTCAGTAAGCAATTCAAAATGAATCCTGTGCCCCATAAAGCCGTGTTTAAAACATTCCTGAAACCTAAAAACAGTTCCAAACCTATCTTGGAACCCATAATGCAGTTTATAAACCAATCTGGAACCCACACAGCAGTTCCAAAGAAACTCCGAAACCCACAAAGCAATTTCTAAATTAATTTGAATCCCTCGAAGTTGTTTATAAATCTAGGCTCTAGAAACACTTCCAAACCATTCCTGGAATACATAAAACAATTCCTGAAACAATCTTTGATCCCACAAAGTAGTTTCTAAAGAAATATTATAATCAACAAAGAAGTTCATAAAGGAAGCTATCAACTCGAAATGCGTTCTCCAAGTAGTCTGCCTCAGCATGGCTCCTGCAACTATGTGAACTGACCTTTGATTCTGGGCCCGTTGACGATTTGTGATAGACACTGATTTGCTGGTGACGACACATTGTCCGTGGCTACCCTGCTTTTATTTCACAACTCGTGGTTGCTGTTAGTACCGCTTCTGCACTTGTAATGGCCGTTGTACTCCCGTCGCAACAAGGTACTCTGCCTCGCTTGAACCACCGCAACACCCTGCAAAAAGCCAAAAGGAGACATCCGTCGATTTTTCTGGCCCCTGAAGTAAACGTCATTAACTTCTACACTAATTACATATATACAACTGTGTAAATATCGCAATGTTTATGCTAAACGAGGGTTTCTGGAAAGAAATAGGACAAAGGTAGCAAATTTCACAGGAACCAAAGATCACACTACCGATCAGTGTGCGGCAATGAACAAATCTAACACCTCGTAAAAAATGCAGAGTCCATATGTAAGATCTAACAAATAATAGAGTGGAAAGTTGCATCTGAATTTAAAATGCGCAAAATCCCCAAGTGCCTTCTTCATGTTTTGCATACCTCCTTACCACTGATCCTCATATAATGCTAACAAAAAATCGGTATCGGGAAGATAAAATGAGTTTATAATTCATATTACTAAATAATAATGTCAATAATTTAAAACGTATAAATTACGTTTATTATAATATGCCCAATTCCCTATTTCAACGCCTTCTTTATCTCCCGAACGGCTGCTAGCCCATCCGCTATTCATATGCCGCAAGTGCATGTTTGAGCGTTGAAAGACGATTACAATATACTGTTAAATTATATTAATTGTAACTGTTTATAAAAACGCACAGCCATTTAAATTATCAAAATAAAATATAAAAACGGTAAAGCTGTCCCTGTAACAGGGCCCATAGGGGTGTGAGAGGTCGAGGCTTCAACATCTTCTAGAGCAGGCATGTCAAACTCAGTTTGTACAGAGGGTCACCTCAGCCCTATAAATAATAGTCCAGGGCCGCACTTCAAAATAGAAATATACATTAGATTTTGATACAAGGAAATTTAATTCTATTTATTATTTAGGAATAATTTCAATATAATTACCTAAAGTGGAACATTTATATTTTGCCCACGAATCAAACATGTAATTTTACCTTCTATTTCACAACAGAAATATGCGATTTCCCATTTTTCTTGAAAAACACGGCGCTCACTTTCAACAGCTCTTTTTTTGCTACTTGAATTTTTTGAAAGCGACATTGCCCTTTAAAAGTTACTGTACATATACAAGAAAACTCGTAGTTGATAATTTAATGTTTAATTATAACCTTTATACGTTCATCACAATGTAACATCAGCACCTGTCGCTGTGTGAAAATGAACTGAATGACAATGTACAAGAGACTACAGGACTAGTAGGAAGGTGTATCTTGTCTCAATGGTCAAAAAAGTGAAAGTTTGCTAGCAGCCCATTAGACAATGACTGGGGGTTGCAAGCTAGTTTTGAAGGTAGAAATCCCTTGGACTTGTCTGTCAGTTGCCACCCTCCTTGCATTCTTACTACGCCTCCAAAAGGGATTCTTGGAAATACTTGGGGTGGTGAGGCTGTGCGGATTTTAGTGCATTAACCTTCTGAAATACAATAGTTTGTCCTTCACGAATTTTACAAACCGTTAGTTGGACAAACCCTTCTGCAATTCTCAGAATCACTTCTCTTGCAGCCTACTAATTTATGTCTGCGTGATACTTCTTGTCTTCTGGTCTGTTGGAAAATTGTCTTTACAAAAAATATTTCTACTAAAATTGTAATATTTATTTTAATATCAATTAGCTCTAAAAGTTGAGGGGCCGCACTTTATGGCTATGGGGGCCGCATGTTTGACACGGCTGTTCTAGACAGTCGGCACAAAGATGGCGGCAAGGTTGTCAGCCTTAGGCGCCGGCCGCGCTTTAACCACCAGGAAAATTTCTGGTCAACCCTAGGGCCATATTGCGACTGGAAGTATTAGATTAATTGAAAAAACCCACCTAATTTGGAATCGAAGCCGCGACCTTCCGGCTTGTAGCATAGTGCCTCAACCAACTACGCTACCGCGTGCCCCCATACAACAAATATACACGTATGTATATATAATTACGCGCTTTAAAAAAAAACAAATAAAAACAAAAAATAAAATTACACCAATAACCAGCTCCGTTATGCTGGAGATAACAAGTCTTGCTACGGGCTATTCCCATGGCAGTCAGAAAATACTTTTATTTTCTTATTCTACAAAAACGCACATTCAACAAAAGCTGCGACACTCCCGAAGACTGTACCCATTACGCAAAGCAGTCCCTGTGCTTAATTAAGCATCACACCATGAAGACGTATGGGAACTGTAAGTACAGCTCTATGCATTCTTAACCTCTGAGCTACATGGTGGTGAAAGGCCAGCTTCATGTCCCGGCTGCTTTAAGCCTGGGTAAAATGTCAGGGGGCTGGGTACGCCCTATAGACAGTGTGTACACCGGAAATTTCTTACCCCTATCGGGAATCAAATCCAAATTCCTTGGTCGCCTAGCCCGCAGTCTGGTCACTATAGTGACTACACTGTCTCAGAAAACCACTTCTGTTAGTTCATATTTGCTGCAAATAATTGATATTGCTGTGCTGCAACATCCTATCAGCCACATCACTCCAGAATCCTGAACAACTATTATCACCACAACCAGTGTATTAATCTGTTGAATTTGTAGAGGCGTCATGTATTTAAAATGTCTTTCCACTTGAGAAAACGGCAGAAACCCTGTTCAATTGACATGAGGTTAGAAAAAAGTACAGGGTTTTATGATGGAGCACTTGCAACGTCTGTGTGCTTAGCAACGCCGATAGGTCAAAGCGATTCAATAGAGACTGGGTCCCTTGGTACTACAGTAAATGCGTGTGGAACTTGGGCTCTGACATTAAGGGAGGAACACAGACTGTGGGTGTTTGAGAACAGGGTGTTGAGGAGAATATTTGCACCGAGGAGTGAAGTCATAGGAGGTTGGAGAAAACTGTATACGAAGAGCTTCATAACTTGTACTCTTCGCCAAGTACAAGTAGAATGATCAAGTCAAGAAGGATAAGACGGGTAGGGCATGTAGCACGCGTGGGTATAATCCATATAGAATTATGATGGGAAGGCCAGAAGAAAACAGATCATCACTAGCAAGACCGAGATGTAGGTGGGAGGATAATGTTAAAATGAATCTTAGATAGGATGGGGTGGTATGTACTGGATTGATCTGGCTCAGGATAGGGATTAGTGGAGGGCTCTTGCGAACATGGTGGTGAACCTTCTCGTTCCATAAAAGATTGAGAAATTCTTGAGTAGCTGATCCATTGTCGGCTTTTTAAGAAGGGTTCAACTCCATGGGGTTAGGTAGGTTGGTAATGCGGTAACAAATGGACCTACTCTACCTGTCCCGAAGAAAAGATAAATGTGGAGCACTGCTGCAATGATAACCGAAGTGTAGCAGTTCCACTTTGTCCACCACAAATCCCATATGGGATTGCTTCCCCAGTGAGAAGTCAGGGAAGAAAGACCGGAACTACGGCGTGGCTTCGAAGAATTACGACCGACAGATTTCTTTGGGTGGCAGTTAATTACACATCTGAGCAAGACCATACAAATACGAGTCATATAATGAACAGCGATATCTGATTCCAGGGTGGATTATCTCCAATGGTACTTCCATAGCATCCCGAATCAGTTATTTTCAATCCTGTCCGAAAAGAATCGATACTGCCATTGAACTCAATAACATGGTCTAACAAAGACCACTTGTTCGTTCACGCTAAATAACACACTACATGCTGTTTTCGGAACTGCACGGAAAGAATCGATACTGCCATCGATCCCCTCAATTACTTCTGAACTGCACGGAAAGAATCGATACTGCCATCGATCCCCTCAATTACATCTGAACTACACGGAAAGAATCGATACTGCCATCGATCCCCTCAATTACTTCTGAACTGCACGGAAAGAATCGATACTGCCATCGATCCCCTCAATTACATCTGAACTACACGGAAAGAATCGATACTGCCATCGATCCCCTCAATTACTTCTGAACTGCACGGAAAGAATCGATACTGCCATCGATCCCCTCAATTACATCTGAACTACACGGAAAGAATCGATACTGCCATCGATCCCCTCAATTACTTCTGAACTGCACGGAAAGAATCGATACTGCCATCGATCCCCTCAATTACATCTGAACTACACGGAAAGAATCGATACTGCCATCGATCCCCTCAATTACTTCTGAACTGCACGGAAAGAATCGATACTGCCATCGATCCCCTCAATTACATCTGAACTACACGGAAAGAATCGATACTGCCATCGATCCCCTCAATTACTTCTGAACTGCACGGAAAGAATCGATACTGCCATCGATCCCCTCAATTACATCTGAACTACACGGAAAGAATCGATACTGCCATCGATCCCCTCAATTACTTCTGAACTGCACGGAAAGAATCGATACTGCCATCGATCCCCTCAATTACATCTGAACTACACGGAAAGAATCGATACTGCCATCGATCCCCTCAATTACTTCTGAACTGCACGGAAAGAATCGATACTGCCATCGATCCCCTCAATTACATCTGAACTACACGGAAAGAATCGATACTGCCATCGATCCCCTCAATTACTTCTGAACTGCACGGAAAGAATCGATACTGCCATCGATCCCCTCAATTACATCTGAACTACACGGAAAGAATCGATACTGCCATCGATCCCCTCAATTACTTCGGAACTGTACAGAAAGAATCGATACTGCCATCGATCCCCTCAATTACATCTGAACTACACGGAAAGAATCGATACTGCCATCGATCCCCTCAATTACTTCTGAACTGCACGGAAAGAATCGATACTGCCATCGATCCCCTCAATTACTTCTGAACTGCACGGAAAGAATCGATACTGCCATCGATCCCCTCAATTACTTCTGAACTACACGGAAAGAATTGATACTGCCATCGATCCCCTCAATTACATCTGAACTACACGGAAAGAATCGATACTGCCATCGATCGCCTCAATTACTTATGAACTGCTTGGAAAGGATCGATACTGTCATCG